GTTTCTTTGTTTGCCCTTGTTTGAACTCTCTGATATCTTCCTATTTGCCAGTGAAATGCAGGGTAGTTAATATGTTAGTGATCTAATCAGAGAAATCCAGTGGAGCACAACAGTCTCCACTAAAGTATGGCTGCAGTCAAGCAGCACTATATGTACATATAAAAAAACACCCATTATTATTGTCTGTGTTAGTTCAAATCTTCCTTCTCACAGTTCATTTCAGGGCTCTGGGACATAAAGGTCATTACAGGACATTCACTGTATGTGAACTGAAGCCATAAATGTGACATAGAGGACACTTTACATTATGCTCCCCCTGGTTTGCTTTCATTAGCAAGCAGATTGATGGAGATATTCTTTCTCCTCTTCTCTCCTATTCTACCTGTTGTAAAGGCTGCTGATGGAAAAAAAAACTATCATGAAGCTAAGCTTTGTCTTTCACTGCCCACCTCTGGCTGAAGACGGGAACACCATGCTGATGGTTTTTACTGTACAGCCAAATAGTAAATCAGTAAGAGAGTGCCCTCTTGTGGAGCTGTTTAAGAAGTGCCAAATTTACAAAAACCCTCCATCCTTAAAAAAAGGGGAAAAAAGCTTTTATAAGTTATGATGTATATTTAAAAAAGAACTTTTAAAAGCAGAAATAGAAAAACAGAGATATCTGCTTGCTTAGACTCCCGCCTTACAGGAAGTTTAATGAAATGTACTATATGTAAAGAAGAATTCATTATTGGGAAAAAAAAAAAAAGTTCTCCAAGTAATGCATTTTAGCCCAGAGAGCACTGTGGTCAGTGGAGAGGAGGTCAACCATAGTCACACTGCAAACTGAAGTCTACCTGGTCCCCTAATAATACTGTATAATTACAGCATGATTTTTTGCTTCCCTCTAAATGAGCTTAAGGTACAACAGAACTCTGTTACATAAAATATTAGTGCTTAGTTTTTGCTCAGTACTCATTGTCATATGATAAATATTTAGAGAGAGGAAAAAATGACACCAAAATCTGAAAATGATCAATCTGATTTGTCTTTGAAAATACGACCACACTTTCTTTTCATTTTTTTTTTCACATTTGGAATGAAAAGTTGTCTAATATTAAAAAATAAATAAATAAATAGTGGAAAAACTTCTTCTCACATCTCATGGCTAATGTGATAACTTAGTAAAGTCTTAGCAGTCTCAAGTCGGCTAACGGTTCAGGCTTGTGTGAAAGACCGGCAGTGAAACATTTAACAAATGAAGAATATTGTTCAAAACTGCTACAGATTTCTGGATTTCATCATTTCAGGAGCACAACGTGATTAAAGGATTCAGAGAATATCAAAAAATATTTGTATACTACCAGTAATCACGGCTAACCAATTGTGAATGGCTGAAATAGTGTCTTAGAACTCTAGAGCTTAGAGGAGGAAAACTCTTGTGATCTTATTATTGGATCACACTGTGGACCAGCACCATCCAGCCGGTCATCAGCTCATTTGAAGGAAGATTTACTGAAATACAGATACAGATCTGGTAAGTAGACTCCAGTGAAGCTCCATATCAGACTGGAGTGAAACAATGTTAGGAAGTAGGAAGGTTCTCCTTGAGTCTAGATGCTGCTGGTGGTCAGGAAGAGATGGATTGGACAAATGAGAGTGTAACAGGCAGAATGACAGAAAAGCAATGAGATTTAAAGGATGTGCAACAGAGGTGGGCAAGAAAATGAATATGATAACAACAGAACTGAGTTGTGCAGTAGTAGCTCAAACACAGATGGCAGATCAATGAACACAACTCATCCTTATTGATCTTAGGCATGGGTTTTATGAGTGAAAGTGTGTTCGTGCACATAGCATGGGTAACTTGCACATCTCTCAAAGCCTTTATTTTGCTGAAGGACATATTCAGGTTTCTGAACAACATAGCATGCTGCCATTGACGGCCTCTTTTTAAGAGCACGCTTTCCTTATATCAGAAAGTCAATGCCAAACCACAAAAACAGTTGATGTACTAAAGTGGCCTGTCATCCACTAAAAAGACAAAATGGAAAACACTTGGCTTTCAAAACTGAACAAGTGGTGATGCAATTGGGAAACATGCCTCTGCCTCTTTCTTGCTGCCATCAAATTAAGAATAAGCATATTAAAAATAATCAAATGAAATAAAATAAAATGTTCTCTGTTTTGACATTTGGTGATAAATGCAGTATTTAGAAATGCACATGGTTTGAATTGACTTAATATAACAGATTTACGATAATGACATCACAGTTGCACAATAAGCGCCATGTGCTCCTAACATTAGAGTCAATTTGCTTGCAAAGACACACTTGGGGAAATGAAAGAAATATAAGTGCCACTAAGAGACTGTGTGTAGTGTGCATGTTCACTCTGTGTGGCACCAACATTGTTCACTTAGATCTTCATCACCGTTTATATTAACACACTCTGGGAAATACCAAACTACTTGAAATGAAGTCTCTTTTGTGGGTGTATTTTAGACTTCTGTTACCTGTGATGTCCCTTGTGAAACAACATTTATTTGACTAGGCTTGATGTAATTAGTAAATATAGTATTTCCCAATCAGTGGATTCCAATAAGCTTGTAAAAGGACTGAAAAGACACTTTTCATTATGCTCACGCTGGATTTGTGGTTTCCAGGCATTTGGTGGAAAGTTTATGTCTACCGTGCTCTCTTTTCTGCCTTCCCTGTATTTGTAATTCAGCTGATACAGAACAGGTCACTTCCCAGCATTGGCAAAAATAAGCAATAATAAAAAATATCAGTATCAGGAAGGCTTTCACTGTAAGTCGGATAGCTCATAGGATTGATGTAAAGACAACTTTATTAGTGACTTTTAATATTTACTTTGAATTATTTTGTTTTTATTTGTACTTCACCAAATGGAAACTTAAGCATTATATAAATAAATACTTGATTATGATCAGGTGCTTTATTTTTTAATTTGCTGACTAAAGTTTCAGCTGATTAATACAAAACCTATTCTTATATCATTTATATTACAACAAATATATGGACCTTTGCAATTTAATGCACTCTGTTTTCTGGTCTTACTGACCATTCAGAGCACTTTGATTACAAATCACATTTAAGGGAAATTATACTGTACACAGCCTTCATTCACACCAAATTCATTCTAATTCAGAATGATAATCACTGGTTAGCCTAACATCCATGTCTCTGGACTAAGAATGTCAATGAAATACGGATGGGTTTTATGCATCCATTCCTTTTATCCATCCAGAAAGACACACAGGCACAGGGAGAACATACAAACTCCACGCAGAAAGGCAAAATAGGAGCTTTCTTGTGAGGTGACAAGGCACTGTTGACGAGTATCAATGGCTTTTGCACAGCTGAACTCTCAAATGTGCATTCATCTTTGTTATGATGGCTTTATGCAGCCCAACCAGATGACATTATCCATCTGCTTCTTCTGCTTATGGATGTTCTTGCTTACAGTCTGATTCCATTCTTCACCTTCTTAGTCACCCGAGGAAGATATTCTCTGTTCCTTTTATGTCGCATTAATGCGATATACAGTTCGTGCCTCTGGCTCAGGAGGCAGAGCAGCTCACCCGCTAATTGGAAGGTTGGTGGTTCGATCCCTGGCTGCTCCAGTCTACATGCCAAAGTATCATTGGGCAAGATACTGAACCTCAAGTTGCTCTAGATGCATTCATAGGAATGTCATTGTTAGATAGACATGTTGCATAAAGTGCTTTGAGTGCTCCAGCAGAAAACCGCTATATTAGAACCAATTCTTTAACCATCCACTAGTCCCACAGGTTTAAATTAAAACATTTTTTAAGATCACAGTTTTCAAAGACACACTACTCTGTCGAAAAGCATTTGTGGCCAAGATCCCTCCTGAAACGCTGAGGTCACGTGGATCCATTCCTCCTGCCATGATTGCTAAATCTCAATCAAACTGGCCTGCTCGAGACTTTTAACTGATCAAGTGAGCTGCTGTGAACATGCTCTTTGCCATCTAAGAGCACTTCATGGTTGTCAAAAACGGAAACTTACTTGAGCACTGTGACATAAACCCAATAAAGACAACATTATGGTAAACAAATGCACCATTTTCTCTTTCATTCCTTCTTTTGCATTTCCATTATAACAATAAACACAACAGGAATAAGGTCAATTTCAACACAGGGAGCATCAGAACCTTCATATTTTCAAAATTTCCTTCATATTTTTGTGCACCAA